CACGGATCGGAAAATCAAGGTTCACGAAGATAGTCACACAAGTAGTGATAATGACCCCAGTCAGCACCTGGGCACCTACTTTGGGTTGCGGGAGACTAGGCCACCCCGCCCGCTCCCACCCCTCCCGTAGTGCACTGGCCTAGGAGGAGCTGGGGAACTGCACAGCTCTGCTGTTTGCTCCTCAGAAGATAGGGGGCGTGGCGGCCAACAGAGCAGATGGTCACCCGACAGTCCCAGAAATCTATTCCCTTTGATACCTCTCACTAGCCAGGAATCCAGGCCTTTCTCATCTCAACACCCCTCTAGGGAAGTCCCCGGCCTTTTGAGGAGCATGGGGGAATCTCCAGGCTGGAGTGTGGGACCTGCTTATGTTTGTACAACTGTATTATTCAGTCTTGAAGTCCAGCAACAAGCCCTGGAGGTGGGCAGGTAATAATAACAGCAATATCAAGGGCAGGGGCTAACTTTTATTACAGCTCATGAAGTGCTGGACACTTTGCTTGGCTTATCTTGTTGGATGACCCCCGGGGGCCAAGATAACTATTATTTATCTCCATTTCACAGAAGAGATAACTGAGGCACAGAGAGGTTAGGTAATTTGTCCAAGGTCATCCAGGCCTGACTCGATTTGGGGAGGGCGGTTATTAAGGTATAACTTATGTAAAGTGAAAATCACCCTCTTATGTAAAGTGAAAATCACCCTCTTACTGTACAGTTCTTTGAGTTTTGAAAAATGCATACAAGGAAGTAGAAGGTGCTATCATTCCTCAAAGCAGACCCCGATCCTACTCTCAACTGCCTCCCAGGCAGCATTGGATGTGCGTTTACAAATGAGAAAATGGAGTTCAGGAGAGGTTGTGGTGTTTGCCCAAGATCGCTCCGTGATAGATGCGAGATTCAAACCTTCATCATATGTCTGCTAGCAGCTGCCTACAGAGTGTAGATTCCTGAATCTACACAGCCCAACCCGCTGCGGCTTGGCGGGTGGGGAAAGGGAGCCCCTTGCTCTAAGATGGAGCCTCAAAAATCCCCCCACCTCCCACTGCACGCTCCCACACTTGACCAAACACCCACCGTTGAAGGGCAGCTAGGGAACAAAGGCTGGATTCTGCAAGGCAGAAGCCACGAGTAAAGTGAGTGGCAGCCACCGGGTCCCAGGAGAGTGGGCTAGAGGTGGTTTAGGGTCTAAGACCTGGCCAGAGTGCCCAGAGTTCTGGCGCACCTCCACCCACCAGCCTGATTAATGAATTACTCTCCTAGTTAATTCCCCCGCACGTCGGGGCTGGGCAGTGCGAACCTTCCAGAGCTCCTCAGGCCTGGGCGCATGAATTAGCATAGATTACCCAGCTTCCAGGGCTCTGTGCATCCCCGGACTCTGACAACCCGCTTCTCTCCCTGCTGGAGGCCTGAGCAATGCTAGCGACCCACCACACACGGGGCAGAGGAACTGGCATGCCGTACTTCTGCCAGCCTTGCTCACCTGCTGACAAGTAGCGCCCCTGGGACAAACCTGGCTATCTCAAGGCAGTCTGCAAGAGGCAGGTGACCCCTTAAGGATGATGCATTACTAGAGACCAAGCTTGGAGCACACTGGACCCCTCTGCCCCTGCCAAATGTCCCTGCCTCTGGCAGGAGGCTGAGGGGTGTGGGTTTCAAACTGTTACTGATTTCCCTGGGACACTCTCTGGACAGGTCTTGGCCCAAGCGGGGAAAGGGCCTAAGGGGGTACAATACCTTAGCACTCTGCCTGAGACTTTTAAAAAAGGCAAACACCCTCACCTCACCTCCCATACAGTGACCAGATTCCCTTTGCCCTCGAGGTCATCTATTCTCATAACCCCCAGCCATACTAACATATATTAACTAATACTAACAGTGCAATAAATGGTCATTTCCTGCTCTGCAGGGAAGGCAGGACCTGTAGTGCCCCCAGTTTTCCACCTCCAGCCTAAGGGGAGTTTGGAGAACATGGCCAGAGGGAGAGCCTGACCCACCAGCTCTCCCGGAGAGCCTTCCACAGAGAAGGAAGCCCTTTCCCTCTGGCTCCAGAATCTGGAATCTATAGCCTACTTAAATGGAGTGTTTCTTTCCAGCTTTAGAACTGGAAGGCTGACTCTCTACCTCCACTCCAGGCTTCTTGATTGGCACAGCCAAGAGACCTGCACATTTCCCAGTGGCTTTAGGCTCCCTGGAGGCCTGTGCAGGGTGAGATTTGTGTTCCTACAGCCTAATTGAAGGGGGGATATCTTAGCTGTAGATAATATTTGGGGGGTGATAGTCCAGGCCCCAGGGAGATGCATCTTCAAATTACCCCACCTCAAGAGTGTGAATCAAAAACCCTGTATCCTTGAGCCTGGTAAAAAGGCTGTGGGTGCCTCAAAGCCAAGACCAGGACAACCTGCTATGGATGAATACCCAGCCACAACCCCTGCCAGAGGTCTGCAGCCTGAGGGAGGAGCAGGTGTTACCAGCATTAGGGCAAAACTGAGTCCACATCTGTCTTGTATGTGAATGTGCGTATGTGAATGTGCGTATGTGTGATATTCTGGGAAGGTTGGTGGGGGCGGCACAGATGATCTCTGTTGGCTTCTCACTAAGATCAGGTGCCCAGACAACCCCAGAAAACAATCCTCTAACTTCTCTCTTGCTTGGACAGTTTTCCAAAAGGGTTTTTTGGACACTCCTTCCCCCAAAACAAGCTATTCCTGGAATAAAGAAGTTGAGAAATGACAGGAAAGTAAATATACAGCCGATGAAACCAGAGAGGGTCAGAGGAGACCCCCAGAGCAGAGAGAAGGTAGCTGGGGAGCATGTCCTAAGATTCAGGACTCTTCAGTGGTGAATCTGGTGGCACTGCAGCCAGAGAAGGCACAGGACTTTGCTCTTCTCCCTCCTCCCAATCGACTTTTCCTGGTCTCACGGCAACCTAGTCATCAAACATAGGCATTTCTCCGTCCTTAAGAGAAATGGCATGGGCCTCCAAGTAATAGATTTAAAAGATGCCAGATTTTTTTTTATCATTAATTGTAAACGTGCAAAATACCTGCTGGTACTTCACTTTAGAAGAATGTAATTGGCAAAAAGAGAGAAAAAAAGAGGAAAAAAGAGGCGGCTGATGAATAGATAATAGATCTTTAACCACCAATAAACAGAGAGCAGCGCCAGCAGCCTGGGGGATGTGATCATAATTATGCTGCTGCGTGAGCCAATGGGGACGATGGAACTCGGCCCTAAAATCATCCCAAAACCGAAGGCGAACTCGAAAATGCGGACACGGCCTGGAACCGGAAAGGAGATCTGCAGTCCCTAGTTGCAAGCCCTTCTAGGCAACCCGCCCCTGGGACTACAGACGGTAGAATATTAATAGAAATAATAATAATAACAACAACAGAAATGATAATAACAATGACAACACTAACAAAATAATAACGACAACGTAACGATAATAGTAGCACTACATTTAGCCTCTCCTCTCACCGGACTGACGGTCCCAGATACTACAGAAGGAATTGTTTTAGGGGAAAGTGAGCACCGTCCCAGACAGAAAAAGCGGTAGCCTATGGGGCTGGTTGAAGCCCACAGCCCGGCACGGTCCTCAACTCCCATTTCAGTTTGCAAACGAACGAGCCCGGGTCAAGGATCGCGAACGCAGGACCTGGGCCCTCGAGGCGACGCGCGGTTGGAGGATCGCGTCCTCCTCACCCGCCCCACCCCTCGGCCCAGGCTCGCTCCTCACCTTGAAAACATCCCGGAATTTTGCTGGGGGTGGGAACTAGTGTAACCGAACGGCTTCCTCACCCAGAACCAACCCCTGCCCTCTTACCCTCGCGGTGCTCCCGGGGCGATCCCAGATCCCCGTACGCGGGGGGGGGGGGTACCCAAGGCGGAACGCTAGGCAAGAGGAATCTGGGTGTCGGTGTCTCTGTCCTACCAGCTCGGGCTCAGCAGGCTCGGGATCCGGGGGCCGCAGAGGAGGCAGCGCTGGCCGGGCCGGGGACTCTGCAGGGATCGGGGTACCCCGGAGGGAATGGTAGTGGTAGAGGAGGAGGCGGTAGCTGAGGGGGGAGTAGGTGGGGAAAGAGGTGGAGGAAGAGGAGGAGGAAGAGGAGGAGGGGAAGCCGAAGGAAGAGGAGGAGGCGAAAGCGGAGGAGAAGCCGCCGTGGGCGCCGCGGGAGCGAGTGAGCGGGGAGTGCGCGGCGACGGCGCGGAGAGGCCGGCAGCCCGGCAGGCGCAGGAGGCACAGCCGAGGCAGCGGCGCCGACTCCGTTCCATTCTCGGCCCGGATCCAGGCCTCCGGGTTCCCAGGCGCTCGCCTCCCTCTGACGCACTTTAAAGAGTCTCCCCCCTTCCACCTCAGGGCGAGTAATAGCGACCAATCATCAAGCCATTTACCAGGCTTCGGAGGAAGCTGTTTATGTGATCCCCGCACTAATTAGGCTCATGAACTAACAAATCGTTTGCACAACTTGTGAAGAAGCGAACACTTCCATGGATTGTCCTTGGACTTAGGGCGCCCTGCCCGCTTTTTGCAGAGGAGAGAAAACTTTTTTTTTTGCGTCCTCCCCCGAGAAACTATCCCCCCTCCCTGCCTCTAACTCCGATCCCCCCCACGCCATCTCGCCAAAAAAAAAAAAAAAGAAAGAAAAAGAAAAAAAAACAAATTAAAATAACTGAAATGTGCTTTCCTGATGCCTGTGGGAAGATTGGCAGCTCCAGGCTTCACATCCAGGACATGTAATTATATGAGAGGGTCAGGATGTACATGCAGAAGACACTGAGTCATTTGTGAAAGTCGAGCCTTAAAAACAGAGCCTTCAGTGTAGCTACTTATTA